CCCTCAGCAGTGTATTTTGTTGATCTGCCTGTTCTGCACCCCACTCTGTCTCTGCTGAATTCTCTCACCCTCCACATCTCTGGCCTGTATCCCAGTTCTGTATGCACAAATAAAATAAAATCTTTAAAAAAAAAAAATTAAGTATTCTGTATACAGTTATTTTCTGTTTATAGCTAATATGTTTGTGCTGGTATTAAAACAGTTCTTTACCTAGGTTGTTTTATTTTGACAAAGAAATCTACCATACTTTGATATTTGAGGGTTGATTGATTTGTAGGGTGGATACATCTTCATATTGTTATAGAAATATGGTGCTCTTTTGTAACTCATTTATTTTAAATCTGCAAGTAGTGGTAAGAAAAATGAAATTTAAGAGAACCTAATTTAAAGAAGAAAGTCTAAAAAGTGACTTAATTGTTTATTTTTAAGTACTTGCAAGATAAATATGTAAATAAGGACTTGGTCGCTTATTACATCAGAAGTCAGTCATTTGCCAGTAGATAAATGCTAGAGAAAGATGGATTTCAATGTGATGTAAAGAAAAATTATGGTGTTAGAATTATCCAGAAAAAGAGCCCAAAGGCTGTTGTAAGGGATTGTACACCCATTGTTAGTAACTATGAATATAACCATACTACTCAAGGGTGTTTATAAAGGGAAAAAATATCAAAACATATTAAAGTCAGTTTCTGACTTGACTTCTTGGATATGCCATGCCAGCACAATTTATTTGGGATCAGATAATTGCTCAGAAGGGTACATTAAATATATTTTCATTCTTCAGTGTCTGTCCAGTTAACCTGATACTGTTATTAAAAGTTATCTCCGGGAGTGCACCTCACTTAAAAAATAACATGTATGTCATTGCTTAAAACTTCACAATCAAACCCTACAATGATGAGAAGAATATTTCTTTTAAGCAAAACCCTCCCTTTTTCGCTGAACTCATTAACTTTTAGAGAACATTTAATAAAATAAATTTTTGAGAGGATGTCAGTCATATTTGTTTTCTTAGTTTTATGTGTGATGTTTTCAAATGTTCCTCTTACCATCTCCTGGCATTGAAGATTATTAGTTTTTAATATCTTTGCATATTATAATTTATGAGGCTAAAATATAAATATTATTTTAATGACTATGATACTGTCATTTTATTAAATTTTTTCCTTCTGCATTTACTATCATCTTCTTGCAGTGTGATCTGTTTTACTATATGTCTAAATGTGCTACTGGCAGTTTGACTCCTAAGTTTCTTTATGATTCCAAGAAATGTTATCTGTTAAGTCAAATATGCTATGATTATAGCTTAATTCTACTCTTATGATTAGCTTATTGAGATGCTATTTTTAAAAATATTGTAATAGTTTATTTTTACATCATTTTGTGCCTTTTTCCATCTCAGTTGTAATCCCTATGGACCTCCCATTACCAATCACCTGTGTGCCATCACCATAGTCCCATGCACTCCCTCCCCAACATTCCCCATTCCACCCTGATAATATGTATATGGTATATAGTTGTTCGTTATTATTATTCCCCCCCCACCCTGGTCCTTTATGCTCCTGCTTATAAGTGAGACCATCCGATATTTTTCTTTTTCTTTCTGGCTTATTTCACTAAACAGGATCCCTTCACGTTCCCTCCATGTTGCTGCAAAAAGCATGAATTTATCTTTTTGATTGCTGAGTAATATTCCATTGTATATATGTACCACATCTTTTTAATACAGTCATCTACTTTTGGTCATTTGGGTTGATTCCATGTCTTTCCTATTGTAAATAAAGCAGCAATAAACATGGGAGTGCAGGTGTCTTGTTGAGTCAGTGTTTTTATGTCTTTGGGGTAGAAACGTAGGAGTAGGATTCCTACATCGTATGGCAACTCCATTTTCAGCAGTTTGAGAAAAGTTTTCCATAGTGGTCGTACTATTTAGCATTCCCACAGCGGTGCGGGAGAGTTCCTTTTTTTTCCAAAACCTCGCCAACATTTGTTTGTTGCTAGTTGTTTTAAAATGTGTTGTTTGTTCTTCCTGGTGTGGGGTGGTGTCTCATTATGTTTTAATTTGCATCTCCTTTATTACAGTGATGTTGAGCACTTTTTCCTATGCTTGTTGACCACCTGCTTTTCCTCTTTGGAGAAGAGTCTTTTTAGCTGTTCTGCCAGTTTTTGATAGGGTTGTTTATTTTTGTTGAGTTTCATCAGTTCTTTGTATATTTTTGTGATCAATTCTTTGTCGTTAGTATTGTGTGAGAAAATTTTGTCCCAATCGGTATGATATCTGTTTTTGTAATGTCTCTTTTGCTGTACAGAAGCTCTTTACCTTGATGTAGTCCCATCTGTTATCCTTTCCTTCACTGTCATTGCATTGGGTGCTGTAGCTTTAAAAATGTTACAAAAATGGATGTCATGTAGTGTTTCGTCCATCTTTGCTTCCAGGTATTTTATAGTTTCCGTTCTTATATCTAGGTCTTTAATCCTCTTTGAGTTGGTTTTTGTGTATGGTGCGAGGTAGTGATCTAGCTTCATTTTTTTGCATGTAGCATCCCAATTTTCCCAGTTCATTTGTTGAACAAACTTTCTTTGTTCCATTGTATATTCTTTGCTCCTTTGTCGAAGATTAGCTATCCATAAATCTGTGGGTTTATATCTGGGTTTTCTGTTAGAATCCAGTGGACTCTGTGTCTGTTTTGTTCCATTACCATGCAGTTTTGAGTCAGTATCAGGGTATTGTTAGCCTTACAAAGTGAATTGGGAACTGTTCCCTTTTCTTTCAGCAGTACTTTTTGTCTTGTCTTTTTAATTTGTTAATGTAATATTAATGTCATATAAAATATTTTTGCAATGTAAAATCATATTATTATCTACAGTTCCATTACCCTAATTCAGCCACTGAATCATTAGGCAGATTGTGGGACAATCTATTATTTGTTTATTATTGAGTAATTATATTTCAAATCTTCCACTGTAGTATATACTTGACATTGAAAAGAAATCTCATTTTAGGCTGTTACTGATCCCAAATCCAAAAATATCAGTAATTTCCTAGATCTGTTTACTCACTTTTATCACCAGCTTATTAATCGGCTTGCATTTTAAAAGAAAAAGATTTTTCATTATGCATACAAGAACTGTGGTATAGGCCAGAGGAGCAGAGGTGAGAGGATTCACCAGAGAGTGGAGAACAGAACAGGTGGATCTACTGAAGTACACTGGTGAGACTGGAGAGGTCTGCTTTGCCATGTGGGATTAACTCCCTGGCCAGTGATCAAACTCATGTTGCCGTGGCTGTTGATAGCTTGAGACTTTAACCCCTGTACCACCAGGGAGGCACTTGGCTTGTTACTTTGGAGATTTTGACTTTTGAGAACAATTTTTTAATAAAGATGTTTTTCTCCCCCATCCCCGCACTCCTTCCCTTCCCATTTTTGAGCTGTTTCTGTACATGTAAGGACTGGTAGAGTGTAGCAGACCACAGTAGAAGTTTATGCTGGAAGTCAGCCTCAGTCACTAGTTGTTATGTGACTTCCTCATTCATGCAGTGACTTACATGTGTTATGGATCAACCTGTGGTTCTCTCATAAGCTGTTAAAA